TGCAGGCCTTTGTGTGGAAACTGAAACATGTGATGGAAAATTTTGCTGTCCTTTGTTGAGGTCAAGAGTTCTCACTGTGAGGGTGAGGTCTCACGGTAGGAGGATAGACAGAATGGTTGAGCAGATACTGAGGGGCCCTAAACAGCTCCCTAAACAGATCATCACGCTGTCAAAACTCCATGGCTCCATGACTGATGGTTAGCTTGGAGTGTCAGGGCTTTGAGGGGGTGGAGAACTTCAAATACAGCACATAGTGGCTTTAAAGCTTTTTGGGAACAACTGCAAAGATTTAGAGTTTTAGAAATGCCTAAGAGCCTTAGTCCCGCCCCTTTTTGCTCTGTGCTCCAATAACAGTTGAGCAATGGTAAATGGTAAATGGACTGTACTTGTATAGCGCCTGTCTAGTCTTCCAAACACTCAAAGCACTTTTGCACTACATGCCACATTCACCCTTTCACAGTGATGGCAAAGTCCATCGAACAGAAACTAACTCATTCATTCATATTCACACACTGATGACACAGCATCAGGAGCAATTTGGGGTTCAGTATCTTGCAGCAGAGAGGAACTGGGGATCAAATAACCTTCCAATTATTGGACAACCCGCTCTACCTTTGAGCCACAGCCCCCCCCCCAATCTTCGAAAAACCTCGGTCAGCTTTCTCTTTTCCTATACTTAGATATGCTATGTTCTTATATTCATATTCCTTGGACGAATGGACGTATACAACCTCTTAAACCCCACCAGGTTGCAGCTTAAACAAGTTCAAAGCTGCTTAGATCACCTACACAAATATATGCGTCTATGGACATACTACACATCGATCATGATCATGATAATCACATGATCAAATAAATTATTAATAATTGATATCTTATTCGATAGAAGTAATATTCATATTTAAGATTTTTGTGCAAAGGCCTACAGATGCCTGTTCCAAATATAGGCAGGTTCAGTTCTGTTCAAGCAAATAAAAACCCAGGCTATTAATTGAGTTAACATAAAATGTTAAATATATTTTTTACCCATCTTCAGAATTTGGTTCTCTTTTCAACACTGATGAGCCTAGCACATAATATTAGACACCTAATACACAAATGATTTATAAAGCCACACATACGCCTGATTTTGCTTTCTAAATCTCAGTCATTGTGGAAGCGAGGACAAGCTTCATTTCTACTCCCACAATCATCCATAAATGGACAAAGGAACAGCTTTAAAGATCTGTTTGCATATCGATACTTATGCTGGTCCAACTACTCATTAAATCTGTCAATAAGTTTAATGGCAAAGATGAGACAGTACGACTGATTGTCTCATAATCAGTGAGGTTCTCCAACAGTATCAGAACAGCTGTCCATACACATGACCATTATGCATAGCTGTGGCTGTTTATAACGCCTGTACCACTCATCACATGAACCATCCTTGCGGTGATATATCAGTCATCATTATATTAAACATTAGAAGGCATGATCAATGATTCATTTATAGTGAGTTCATATTGACTCGTAAATAATTCCAATTAGGTTTATAAATGTGCCTTTTACAGAATGCTGTGTACAACACTCAATTTCGCAAACAACCTTAACAAACAATGTTTTACTATGAGCTTCCATCTCTTAACGTATCTCATGTCCACCTCATTTCACCCACAGTTGTCTTTTTAAAACTGTGTACACCTGGTCGGAAGTATGTGTGAGGTGTGTACATTCTCACACACATTCTTCTTTCATAAATACCAGTTTATGTGTGGGAAAGGTGTACACACATCGTTTATTCATATGGCCCCAGGAAGAACGAAGTTGTCAGTTTTCAGCTTCCTCAATTGCTAATAGAGCACAGAACAAAAAGGGGCGATGCTTAGTTAGGGTCAGTTCAGTAATGGTTCAGTTTATTGTCTGTGCATGCCACACCTCCATAGCCACTAAAGTGAAGATAAGCTGATTGATGTATAAATGTGTTGGTATTTTTACTTGAACTTCATGAATCCATGAGATATTTCACCTCTTATAAAGGCTTGAAACAGGAAATGCTCTGTTTTGATTTTCTTTTTCTAAACACACACAGCATAGTCATACTCATACTCTAATAATTTCCCAGTGTTTTTTGCTAAACCTTTACAGGACAGCTGACAGCCGACACCTCCGCCAAAACAAAATATGGGACAGTGCCAAACACAGAAAACGGGGGATTTCTTCAGGGGCCAGGGGAGAACAAGATGAATGCCAAAGTAACTCCATTCTAAAATGCAAATTACTTCTTGGCTGTTACCACGTTGTGACTTCAGTTTTGGAGCATCACCTGCACCCACCTCTCTTGAGAGCCACTGTTCTGAGGAGCTTAGCGTCTTAAACCCTCTAATTAAAACTAGAATCCCTCCACCAGGCTCCAGAGCACCCTCGTTATCCAAAAGCAAATGATTTAAAATCTAATGGAGTAAAGTCTTGTCCCACACCATCTGCCATTTTAAAAATGGTGACAGAGGGAGAGAACACACAGTGTGATTTTATACATATGCAGGCGTTTATCTGCATACTCCACAGATGCACATATATTCACACCTACATAAAGGTATTTTTGTGTGTCAAAAAATGCCTTTTATACATGGCAGAAAGGGAACATTTAGTTGAATTGATCATTTGTAAAAGCACAACTCATAGTAATGCAATTTTTAACACTTCCCTCTGCTTTGCTGTCATTGTTGCTGCAAATTCCCACTGTTGACCTGGTGAAGTCAGAGACAATGGAATGCTTTTTCCCATAAACAAGTTGTTGTTTTTTCACCTACAGTATGTACAGGAAGGGATAAAACACAGTTCAGGAAGTCCAACGGATACATCTTAGTTTTAGAATCAAATCAGAAATATTTTATTGATCCCCGGGGGTTAATTTGTTTGTGGTTTGAAGACTTGAAATACTGTATAGTGTAGTATGTACAGTATATTATCCTCACCTTAACTCTGTGGTACTCAACCTTGTTAGAAACAGTTAACAAAACCAAACTTTAATTGACAGATTCTAGGTTCATAACAGCTACCTGATAATTAAGAACGGAAGACTCTCCTCTCATTCTACATTTTTCAACATCTTTCATGCAAAAAGTGCTGAGTTTCATTGTTTCAATTCAATCCAATTCAGTTCAATTCAATT